ATTTTAAAGAGAAGTTCAACGATAATTCGTTGGAGGAGTTTAAAGGAACTCTAAACAGATTTTAAAGTAAATTCTGAGGATGATTCCTTATAAATAGTACTGAAAATTCTGCACAATTTCCAAGAAAACTCTGACAGAAACCCTCAAAGGAATTCTGACATGAAACCTGAAGATAAATCCATAGAGATTAGTTTTAGAATATCAACTTTACAGTAGAGTACACACTTAGAAATGATTACCGACATCGGTATTTTTTACCGAACTTTCAACAGCTGAAAACAGTAAACCTCTATCTTGAAGTAAAACAGTTTGTATCGCTGCGCCATCATTATGGTCAAACTTAAACTATTTTTATCCACCAAATTATAGTCCTAATTAATCCAAGCAACTTCACTGAAGACGTCAACTCAATTGGATGCAACCCCTCCTCGATTTAATTCCTGGCTCATTGTGCTCTCATCAGATTAGATCTAGAAAGTTTCTCGAGCACTCCCATCATATTCGCCTTTAAAAACTACCGTTGCATGTCCATGTTTCAGGATGGCAAGTGAACCAGGAAAACCGGAAAAATTTTGGATTTTATTTTCACTAGAAAAAACCGAGAAACAGACGGGGATTTGAGAAATCAACCAGGAAAGTTATCTTGTTTATATGATTTAAATAACTTCTGAATTTCACATCGGTGATGATGGCAAAAGTTTTAACGAAACGGATGTCATCGTTTATTTTTTTAGTCAGGTATAAACTAATAATTTCGTTCAAGCTAAAACTTCCACACAACTAAAAATTTGCTGCAAGATGAACGAAATTTACTTTAAGTGCTTAGTAGACATGTTGCTTATTTATCTCTATTTTCTTTTTTTTTTTGAATTCATTGGATTCGGTGAAGATAGCTTCGTTGATTACATAATTGATCGAAAATCGACAGATGAAGATACCGTGGCTATTTGCTGAGTCGTTTGCAAGTACACTTATTTGGAACAGTTAGGCATTCGTTTAGTAGAGCGAATCTTTTTCCTCCTAGCTTCAAACTATTTTAGCTATGTTTTCGAAGATAAAATTAATTCAAATGGGGGAAGTCAAATACAAAAACAATTTGTAGCTGATTTTTTATCGATATCGTCGAGTAATCTAGAACTTTCGAGTGTGTACATCGTGGGACCGTTTTTCATATTCTTTTAGTTTCTCACTTGATTCGCTCTACTGCTGTCAATTCTGAGTATATGTGCAGTCATCTTCTTGGTTGAATCAACACTTGTTAAACTGTCTTTTAGCATCCAACCATGGCTATTTTTCTGCTCACATGAGTGAATGAATTTACCACTAATTGATTCATTTAAAATCGGTCAAAATGCTCTTTCATCCAAAACACACTCGGTTGTCGACAGAAGCCACTCTCGATGTGCGTCACGCGATCGTCTGTTTACTCGTCAGCAACCATTGTGTGGTTCACAAATAATATTGTATTTATCATTTGCACACCTTTGTTTTTGATAGATCATTGTGACCCACTACCTAACGGAAAAATATACCCCATTTAAATCTGGAATAACGCCGGAACAAGGTAGCCAATTCCAGTTTTCCTAGAACATAATGTAAAAACTGGAAAATTGTCCAATTCTTGTGAGACCTCAAGCTCCAAAATCGGTTCAGAATTGACGAAGTTGTTTTTTTTTCTAAATGAGAAATCAGTAGTTGGGGGTTTGAAAGCTTATAAGCTACATGAAACCAAGCATATATAATGCCATTTACCGATTCATAATCAAATTGATAAAGCAAACCGGTACACAAAACGCGGTTTATATGTGTCCAACCGTATTTTTTGGAATATTACATAAATAACATATATAATGATCTTTACCGATTCAGACACGAACCGGTAAAATTAACCGGTACAAAAAAATTGTTGTCTAGTGTCCACTCATATTTTGTTGAGAAATTTCATGAAGTTTATTAAGCATATTGAATACATTACATATAGAATTTCCTTTACCGGTTCATACTTGAATCGGTAAAATGAACCGATACATAGAAACTAATTTTTTTAATACCATGAAGTTAAATAAGCATAATGAATACATAATTGAGCGTACAGGTGTCCTTAAATTTGAGCAAAAACAGCTTTAAAAGCGCAATCTAAAGAGATACGTTTCTGAATTTCTGACTGCTGAATCATCATAAATGTATCAATTATTGGAACAATGTTGGGCTTATTTGGTTTGGTGTCAATGTGAGAGTTGAACTTAAGTTTGTCATCAATAATCACGCCAAGATATTGTATCTCCCGAACGCGATCAATAGTCTCATCATCAATTACAACAGAGACGTTCTCATTTACTCGATTCCGCGAAACTACCATAAATTTAGTTTTACTTGTATTCAATTTCAACTGCTTATACTCCAACCATCTACTTAGAGAACGCAAATCTTCATTCAAGTGTTAAACGGCATCATCTAAATCCTTATCTGCAATGAATAACATAATATCATCTGCAAAAAGGTTAATGTCGCAAAATCGTAAAACAAGTCTTAAGTTATTAATATACATAATAAATAACAGGGGCCCTAATACACTTCCTCACGGGACTGGAAACAGAATAAATAAAAAACAGTCCGTTGAGTTCTGACAGACAAATAGCTATCAAACCATTTATATGCAGTACTCGTAATACCAAAGCGCTTGATTGATCTTAACAATAAGGGTCTTAATTGTTTCAAAAGCGCGTTTAAGATCCAAAAAAATCAGCAACAATCGTATCTTTACACTCCACGTTATTTTTCCACTTCGCTAATACCAAATTCAACGCGGTTTCACAAGAATGACCTTCCCGATATCCCGATTGTTCTGGTATCAACAAACTGTAACTATTTAAATGCTCCAACAGCTGGCCTTTAACAACAAGTTCTAAAATTTTCTCTAATGTGTGCAACATGTTGATGGGACGAAACTCTTCGGCTTTAATCGTTCCAACAACTTTTTGAATAGGGACCACTAAGGATTCCTTCCAAATTTGTGGCACATGTCCAGTTTGTAATGATTCATTAATAAGGTCCAGCAAGATGTGGCCAATGACATGAAAGCAATCTTGAATAACTCTAGCATTAACATTATCTACTCCAGCCGATTTTCCTAATGAAAAACAAATAACTCTAAGTTCATCTAATGTAATTGTAAGAGGTATTTGAGAAAAACGCCTTTTCCTTGAAAAACTTTAATATCTTGAAACATAATGAACTAAACTTTTTGAAATTTTGCTCATTTTTAGTCATAATAAAGATCATTCATATTATACTAATTTTACTAAAACTCGTCCACTAGGTATAAAGTTGAAAATCGTGCGTTTTACTAAAATAAATCTAACTTCAGTTCAAAAATAAAACGATCAATTAATAATCATCTGTTTAACTTCCAACCAAGAAATTAAAAAAATATATCTATTCAGAATGTTTAAAAAAAAGTTCCACTAGGGTGTTCGCTCAATTTTGCGATACATTGTATATAATAGGATGGTTCAGAATATCAATTTTGCTCCATCAAGGTTCAATCGATGCTCCCAAAATTTGAGCTCATTTGGATGTGAACTCATACTGCACTGGCCCTTTGAAGTTTATATGGGAATTACTATTAGGAAAGTGAACTTTTTGTTCTGAACGTCGTAGCACTTCGCCATAAAGATTTACGGAAATGCTTGCTTTCTGCTCTTATGCGAAATTTTATTAGCAACAACTTTGCAGAATACCACTTTTTGATTAGACTTCAAGGTAATTAGTTACTGATTGATTTCGAATGCGATAACTTTCCGATATGATTAATCGACTGCTTTCAGGGCAACACTGCATCTTGCACTTTTGACATAGTAGCTTATTATATTATATAATGGCATTTATCGGTTCAAAATCGAATCGGTAAAATGAACCACAAAACACATTTTTAGTGGTACCAACAACCTCCCATATATAGGAAGTAGTTTACTTTAACGGTTCCGTAATGGGTGGGCCAGATGCCAGATCAACGGATTTTTGTTCACGAATAATGTGGAAACCCTCTTTTTTGAACCCTTGTAACTTTAATAATAATGATTTTTTTAAACTGTTAGTTCGTAAAATACTTCCAACAATTAACTTTTTGTTGCATCATGAAATATCTAATTTGATATTGTATGGATTAAACTAAAAGACGGTGTCCACTTTTTTCGTGAACGAAAATTTGCAAATGTGGCATCGTTGTTAAGAGGATCCGTCACTTATTGAAACCTGTCTATATTTTCAAAGAAGGCTTGCAATCCCGGTTTATCGGTTAGCATAACATCAAAAGCCGTATCCTTAACAGAATAGGCCCATCAGTTTAATTCGTATGTTTCCAAGTAAGTTTCCGAACTTTTCGAATTGCCATTTTTAAGTTTTTGCCGAATCGTAACCGATTTATTTTGAATAAACACACTTCATTGTACAATACACCCTTCATTCATTTGATGTTCACCTTCCATCAATTTCTGCGAAAATCCTTCATATAATTCTAATCACATTCCATCCAGCAACCCTGGATCCCTGAGCAGCGGTTCACATTTTCCGCTCTTCACAATCCCCGATCTACATTCACACCTTCAAGTTTGCAAAATGTGTGCTTTTCACGCTCTGTTCTTTCTCTAACTCCCATAAAAATGGTCATAATATTACATTATAAGAAATTATGTGTGTGCGTGATCTCATTTCTTTCCGAACCTGTCATTCCCATTTAATCGCACACCACCCATAACCCACTTTCAATTCACTTGCTCTTTCTTCAATCCTCCTTCGAATCAATACCGAAATAATCCCACCCCTTCAGCTCGGGTGCTGCCGCGTCTACGCTATTCCTTTAGAACTACCACTATTTATTAAGATTGAACCAAAAAAAAAAAAAAAAAAGACAACCAAATTGTTGCTCTATTACTCTACTGTTGTTTATCTCTTTCTTCTTTTGTTCTTTTCTTCTCTTTTTTATATCCAATTACAAACAGGTCTCAGTCTTTCCGTCAGGGTCCTCTACATTCAAGTAACCGAAGTCAATCACGCACTTCATGTAATGTGAATCAAAGCATCTCGGCTCATCCTTTACTTCCAATCGAAACCGGTTTGTATTGTTTTGTTTTGTTTGATTTGTTTAAAATTTTTTCTGATATTTGTTGTTTACTATTTCGTTTTTGTTCTTCTGTTGTGTCAATTTTGATTTGGTTTGGTTTGCTTTGTGTTGATTTTGTTCTTTGATTAATCCACCTTGTAGTTGTCTTTGCACTTTGTACAAGAATGTCAAACGATAGCTTGAAACTCTTAGTCTGAGTAACAGTTGAACATTTTAAGCAAATCAAAAATAAAATGTAGATTTCAAAAAACTAAAAAAAAACGAAATAGAGTTGTTTTCATCTTACACAGTATTTTACTTTAAGCATTTTTGGATGTGATTCTGTTCGATGCCTTGTTGCGTGTGCGAAGGTTGATCGGATCGGGCTAATGTTTGGCGTGGTTGTTTTCTATTTTGTAGCGGAATGGGAACGTCGCAGTCAGAGCAACGCCTTGAGGACGCCTTCTCAGATGAGGAAACCAGTGGATATGGGGGAGGATCACCGACCCGCCAGTCCTACCGGACAGGGCAATCGTTCTCAGCTCACGGAAGCCCAGGTGGAGACCTATCCGACGAGGAGCTATGCCCAAATGGGGGGCCTGGGAACATCGGGGCCAATGGACTCATCCACGGCGGTGGACCATCATCAGGTGGGCCACCTCCAGCAGGACTCGAGTCGCTCTGTGTCTCCGGGGGGCACCTGGAGTTCTCCGTACCACCTCAACAACAACAACAACAACAACAACAGCAGCAGCAGCCATGCGCGAGAAGCCGATCGGGCTCGTGCACGTCAAGACGGTCACAGTTCCGGTGAGTGGATGAATCTCTTTTACCTTTGAAGGTTTCTATCGCTATTTTGATTATGATGGGAATGCGGGATTTTAGTCAAATTTTGGTTAATTCATTTTGATTTAACATCTGGACATGGTTTGGTTTATAAATTTCTGTCAACAACACTATGCATAATCAAGTAGACTGATTATATGATCCTACGAGCTCCTTAGAACGTTAGTGGCCTCATGGTTGGATTCGCTTCTGCACAAGTGCCTTACATTACAATAAGTTTTCTACGTAGTAGCAAATCTGAAATTTTGGCTGGGAAAGTTCTAAGAAACTAAGAGACAAATCCGTACAAGAAGCTTGCTAACAGGGCTATGCATTTTCGAAACAGAGAAAAGAAAATGAACTCTCCGCAGAATCGCTTCATTTCGTGCAATATCATTTTCGTGTAAGTCATTGTGTTTCTTGTTATCGAGTCACGATGAACATTTCTCCTCAAACATGACTTGACTATCGCTTGTTTCGTTCGTCAAGTGCTTCAGTTCATTTCATTTGAAGCAAATACTTGTTTCAATTGACGCAATGAATGACTTGAAAACTGCTTCCTTCGTTTTTTTTCACTTTCAGGTTCATTCGACTTGTCACGCATCGCGTCGTCAAGCATAAAAATATAGTATCCGCATCCGGATTATGTGTAGTAATAATATATTATTTCATGTTAAACGAAAATTAAATTAATGAGGCCATTCTGGAGTCCAAGATGGCGGCCATCGGGGTCAGGAAAAGTCTCAAATATGCGACAATATTTGGTAGGGTAAATTCGGAACGGGGACGACGCGAAGATGCCAAAAATCGATATCCGACGCCATTTTGAAATCCAAAATGGCGGCCATCGGGTTTCAGAAAAAGTGTCAAATACCCTACAACAGGATGTTTTCCTCGATATTTTCGGAACGGAGATGGCACGTAGATGCTGAAAATCGATACCCGACGCCATTTTGGAATTCAAAATAGTGACAATTGGTTTTCGGAAGTGTCAAATACCCCAAGATATTGGTATTTTAGAAACGGGAACAACGCGTAGATGCAAAAAATCGATATCCGACGCTATGTTGGACTCCAATATGACGGCCATCTGGTTTCGGAAAAAAAGTGTCAAATACCCTACAATATGGTTATTCTCGGAACGAGGACAACGTGTAGATGCCAAAAATCGGTATCAGATACCATTTTGGAATCCAATATGGCGGCCATCAGGGTTCAGAAAGCGTCAAATACCCTACTATATGGGTATTTTCGGAACGGGAACAACGTGTAGATGCCGAAAATCGATATCCGATGCCATTTTGGAATCCAATATGGCGGCCATCAGGTTTCATAAAAAGTGTCAAATACCCTAATATCAGGGTATTTTTCGGAACAGGGACCTTTCCGATTCCCACGACGCGTAGATGCTGAAAATCGATATTTGTCGCCATTTGCAGGCCGTTTGGCACATCATCTGGAATCGGAAGGCACCATCTTGAATTTCAAGATGGCGTCGGACATCGATTTCTGGCTTCTAGATGTCACCCCGATTCCGAAAAACTCACATTGATCGGTATTTGACAGTATTTCACAGTTTCTCTGAACCAAAGCTGCCATCTTGGATTTAAAGATGCTGTGACATCGATTTTTGGCATCTACGTCTCATCCCCATTTTGCAAATAATCATATTTTAGGGTATTTGACTCTTTTCCGCAAATCGGAAGTCCCCGTCTTGGATTTAAAAATGACGTCGGATATTGATTTCCGGACTCTAGACCATCCCGATTCCAAAAATACATTATTGATGGGTAGTTGACAATATTTCCCATTTGTTCTGAAATAGGAAGCCGCCATCTTGGATTTATAAATGGCGTCGCATACCAATTTTCGATCTGTAGACTTTATACTGATTACAGAAATGTCAATATTGATGTGTATGTGTCTGTATTTCCACTTTTTCTTAAGTCGGAAGCCGTCATCTTCGATTTTATAATGGCGTCGGATATCGATTTTCATCCTCTAGGCATCATCCCGATTCCAAAAATACCTTTATTGATAGGTATTTGACAGTATTTCTCACTTTTTATTAAACTGGAAGCCGCCATCTTGGATTTAAAAAGGGCGTCGCAAATCAATTTTCGATCTCTAGACGTCAGCCCGATTAAAAAAACACCCATATATGATGGGTAAACAAACCACCCGACAATGATATATTTGACATCCACGTGCACAGATCTATGCGCATACGCATACGAGTGAACAATCAATAAAAGTCATAAAAACTGCGCGAATTTGGAACGAACAGCTTCGCTTCAATACAAAAGTAAGTTCATTTGACAATGAAAGAAGAAATGAACACGAGTCAAGCCAAAACAAACAGCATGGAAACTGATCGAAAGTGGTTCTGTTGATGTTGACAGGGATCTGCTCGAAGAGAAGACATAATGACTTTTAATTGAAAGTGATGGTTTACAGCTTCATCGTCAGTTGATGATTTTCGATTGAAAGTGACTTTGAGGGGCCCTGCTTGCTAGTAGAGCAGTTCCACGCCAAATTTCGAATCGGAAAAACTCGACCTTATCCGATTTGCATGAATCTTTGCATAATTGTCTGTTAAGGGCAATTATTCACATTTCCTCTAAAATTCGACAATTTTTACTTAAAATAAATATCGCAACAATTTTTTTTAAAACAATCAAGATCGCCATTTTGTAAATTTTACAAAATCCAAAATGGCAAAATTTTAGCAAAACTGTTAATCATTGGCCATAACAAACAATTATGCAAAGTTTCATACAAATCGGAGAAGGTCGATTCAAAAATTATTTCTTATTTTGGATGAGCCGTTTTCGTGCTATAATTTATACAAACATATCTAATACACCCTTTTGAAAAATTAGGCGTGTATCAAATGGCCGGCACAAGCTTGGTTCATTGCCCCTAGTGAACAATTGGACGAAGTTTCATTAACTTCAGAGAGGGAAAAATAAAATCGATTCGTCAGTTGGCGTGGAACTGCTCTACACTGAAAACGAAACTTACTCAGAGAGTGAGTCACTTCTACTCAGTTTGGTAGTCACTTTTACTCATTCGTATGAAGAAATTTCATAAACCGTAGGCTACTCAGCGCATGAGTAACCAACGCTTTCTGAGAATTCTCCATTATAATGAGTAAACGTGATCTGAGTAAGATTCGTTGTCAGTGTACTTTGAACGTCTCTCTAAAGCGATCCTTCTATTAAAAAAAATGCTTACAAAGACTTATCTTCCTCACTTATTCCTCTTCCAAACATCCACTGGAATCTTTCGGAGCTAGAAAGTATGTACGTCTACTGCGAACAATTCACGAGAGAATCATTAAAAATTTTCAAGAGGGGTAAAGATTCCCACCTACAGTCACATCCCAAGTAACATTGCAGGTTTTATCGCGGTTTTATAGCATTCTACAAGTCTAAATCATGGTCTACAGAACACAAAAGTAGAGAATCTCCTACTTTATGCTTTCTCAGAGGTTCAAATTGCAAGGTGTATCGAAATTCTCCCCTGTAAAGAAGGCTTACGAAAATCTTGTTTCCATGTTCAAACATCATGAAGATATAATCAGTCTACTGAGTCATCATCAGTCACACACACACACACACACACCTACACATTTATGAGTTGGATCGCAGTGTAAGTTATGGTTTTTAAGTTTCAAAGCTAAGTGCCACCCGATAGTGATCGTACCCGTATCCTGTATTGTTGTATATTCTCCCCTTCTTCGCGTGTACCGTATTTCTCGGACGGGTCGATGGGACTGCCCGGTAGGTCTGAGCCACCACAGCTATGCCACTATGTCCCCCAGTTACATTCATCGCAGCCACAAATATACCACGCAGCCGCAGCAGCGTCGGGCCTCAGTAGGGCCACTGGGCCAACCGGGGGATCGCAGCAGTTCTATGGGGGAGACAACGGTCTCCTCCACCAGCCGGGAGAGTGTTTTGTCGCCGGCGGACATTCGCACGCGACGCTCTTCGGCAATCCAGCCTCAGCCGGGAGCCAGCAGCTCTCAATCCCGCAATGCCACACTAGTCCATTATAACAATACGAGTACCTATTCGATGTCTAAGTCGATCAGTACCGGAACCGACCTGTCGGACGATATTGCCGATAACATTATCTATTCGGACATTAACGATCTCTACCAGCGCAAGCAACGGTCTGCGCAGATTACTATCAGTAGCTGTGCTATCGTGAACGGCGGGAACGTTAGTGCTCCAGAAGACGAAGACGAAATCATGGATGAGGTCATCGATGAGAATGCCATCCGTCAATCGTACGCAGATGACGATGAAGACGAAGACGAAATCGACATCCGCTACGCTACGGCAACCCAAATCAAAGCCATGACGGGTGGAGGCAGCATTCCGGCCCCATCCAACGTTTCGATCAGCAATGTTAAAAGCAATACCGTCGTCAGTGACGATCTCTATGCCACGGTTAACCGAAAGAGCAAAACCAATAAACAACAGCAACAACTTCAGCAGCAGCAGCAGCAACAATCACAACCAATGCAAACTACCACTACGCATCTAACCGGTAAACACTTCAGCGACGAGTTTATAGACGATAGCATTAGAAACTACAATAGCCATACCAATATAAGCACCAATGTAAACGCCTCTAGCTCCGGCCATCTGAACATGGCCAACGGCGAACTGTATCCCAGATCTTCAACCCATTTTGACGACTATTATGGCGGTAACCGATACTCCGACACATCGGACTACTTCAGTCACAGCCAACCGCACTACTCCCACTCGCCGAATTCGCACTCGCTAGCCACGACTATAACGCACAAGAACGGACTTACCGACGACGACGAACGCTACTCCTCATCCCATCCACCCCCGATTCACCCACGAACCTCCCAATCACTACCCCGAAGCTCCGAACTCGCCAAAATCGATTCCCTGGATTCGTCCTACAGCGGTGGCGGAACCGATCATAACTTCATCGGTCACCACTCGCTCAGCAACCTTCCCAGTTCCGCCAAAGTCACCAGTGACTATCTCCATTACTCCTCTCTCCTGCAAAAGGCCGACGACGGAATGAATAGTAAGAAGACTTCCTCCGAACGGCTAGAGTACGAGCTATCAAACGCCAACATCTACTCTACCGTTCAGTACAAAGTCGGTTACGACGACCAAGACGAATACGACGACGACTACATTGGCGGTGGCTATCCGAACGGTGTCGTTGGGAAGGACGTCTGGCGGCGAAGTACCTCGTGCAAGGAGCTGTACGATTACAACTACGACGGCGCCGAGCCAGACTTTACGCTACTGGAGCGAGAGTTCCTCACGTCCGAACGGATCGACAGTCCCGTAACGCGGTACGACGACTCGCGACACTCGATGTACGTTCAGAAAAATCACTCCACGGATGTCAGCCAGGAGTTCCTGGCCAACGAAGGGAAGGTTTACTCCTCCAGTTACCCCGGAACGACCTACAATACGATCGATCACAACAGCTACAAACGTCTTCTAGGGCAGTACTATTCGAACTTTGAGTACGGCTCCCAGGATGACATCTCGCACGATAGCTACGAACTGTTGGAGAAATCTGAAGACGATATCTACAGCAAGGTGAAAGCTCAATCAGAGGCCCATACGCGATCATGCTCGCTGGACTCCGGAAACTACATTCCAACGGATGACGAGAGCTACTCAGAGCACCATTCTCATCATGTCTCTCGGTACGCCAAGTATCGCACCAGCTTGGAGAGCAAATCCAAGAGCACTGCAGATATTGACGACTTGGACGACATCTTTCTGATGGAAGATCCGAGGGACCTTCCGAGAGAAAAGTTAAGCGTCAAATCGGATGGAAACTTCTACAAGCAAATCAAGAAAACAATGGGATCCAGGACTTCCAGTCCGGAATCGCGCAGCGATTGCTACGAATCCAAACTATCCAAAAGTAGTGATTCCAGCAAGAAATCCAAAGACAGCGTCTACCATACCGATAGCAATAAAAAGTCCCGAGAAACTCTGAAGAGTAAATCCGGATCCGGGTTCAACTCTCGTACATCCAGTCAAGATTCTCGTGACTCCTTCGGAATGGATATATTGCTGACTAAAAACTACGAAATGCCTACAACGACCAGCAAAAAAGCTAAATACCTAAGTAAGCGCTTCGACAGCAGCTCGCGGAACTCCAGCCAAGATTCCAAGAGTGACTACTACGATGCCAATGAGCAACCGATCGAACTGGAAGATCTGGAGTCGGACGAAATCTACTCGCGACCCAAGATCCATTCCCACGAACACATTCCCGGCGAAATTGGAATTCCCGTCAAGGACGTCCCTGCCGGTTTCTACGATAATCAAATCTACTCGTCGACGTTCCCCAGTGCTCAGACGAAGCCTCCGACCAAGGCAACCTCGCACGTGACCTCCATCTCGCTGCAGAACGTCGAGCTGGATCGTAACGCGCGCAGCTACTCCGCCTACAAATCGCCCGACCCGGTACTGCTTCAAGCGATACCAAAACCAATTGAGAAGCAACCTCCGAAGGCGACACACATCTGGCCGGAAGAGATCGAAGGAATACCGACCACCATCAGCAATAGCAGCAGTGATACCCAGCGGGTCGACCGTACGCGAGCCTTCCGCAAAAAGTCCGACAGTGAGAACATTTTCAGTTTCGACAAGGAGAAAATCGAATCCTTGACCAGCAGCATGAACGACGAAACACCGACTACGGCAATCTTGGTGGAAGCCAAGGCGAAAACCAGTCCCGACTACCCATTAACTCCGGAACTGTTGTCGGAGTTTGATAAACAAAAGATCGAATCACCGCATGCCCTTCCGAAGCAGACTCGCAAGGAAGAACTGATGGCGAAGACCCATTTCGAAGAATACAACCCCAAACTGATCCTAGATGCTCCTATTCCGGGAGTCCTCACCTATACCCACGCCACGGTCGAGAGGACTAAATCTGACCCCAACTCGTTGGCAAATCGCCCTCGGCTCGGACCAAATTCGCGTCGCCACACTCTGATGCATCAAAAGTCGATTGACCTAACTCCGGCTGACTCCAGCGAGGAAGAGTACCTCTACAAACAAATTCCCAGCGCTCCTCCCCTTTGCAAGACCCACGGTAGTCACTTTGAAATTCCTCAAACCTACGATATAAACATTCCGACCGTCGAGCTACCTCTGAACGGGTTCGAAGTTCCCAAGAGCTTTTTCAAAGAGTACGATCGACGAGTTCACAAGGTGCTCAAAGATGACATTCCTTACGTGCTTCACAAACGTCACATTATGAACGGAACTGCTCCCTCTCCGTCGCAAGAGAAGCAGCATCGATATCCGAAACCGAAGAGTCCCAAGTCTCCCAAGAGTCCTAAATCTCCCAAGTCTCCCAAATCCCCAAAGATCGAAGTTCGAGATGTTTCTACACAGAAAGAAAACACTTTACGGGTCCAGGATGACTACGAAATTGAGCCCGGCGAAAGTGGGCAAGGCTTCTTGTTCACACAGAACATCGACCTCTCAAAGGTAGACCCCGTCACGCTCGAGGTAGACAAGTCCGCGCAGACCATTCAACTGACCAGCCCGAAGCGCGATATTACCAAGAAGATGGATCCCCTCTTGCTGGAGCAACTCAGCAACAAACTCAGTCAAATTGAGAGTGACTCGGCCACGAGCTCCCGAACGGACAGCAATCAACATAAGAAACTTGAACCCAAACCTGTTGAGCTGCCCTATCTGATCGAGAAGAAGCATATCGAGTTGACGGTACCGAAACGCGTTGCAAAACCTCGAATGGCTCCGGTGAAGAATAAACCAGGTAAGGGTAAGAAGAACGCCAAAACTCGAATTACATCATTCTCGTCAGACGATGAAAGTCTGGATTCGGACGACGTTTTTGGATCGGCGGAAGCCATGCCAACCCGACTGGAATTTTCACCACCACAATCGAGGAAAGAGATCGAACCGATCCTGAAGCACGAATCCAGTAAAATGGCTTCTAATGCCTGGGCTCGTGGACAAACGATGAGCTCCACGGAGATCGAAGGATCGCCACCACAGTGCCGGAAATTGGCAGAGCTCGAAAGTCGCTACAATACGGGAACGAATCTGAACACTCACCATATGACCAGTTCGGAACTTAGGAGAATCTCCGAGCGATCGTTCTCGATTCCCAGCTCCGAAGATGAAGCTAAAAAGGAAGAGACAACGACCAAAGCGTACCACATGACGGAGAAGATCCCATCACCTATAATCGAAACCAACGAAGTCCACCGCACTGACGATGATATGTACGAAACGGCCCGTGAAGACAACTTGGGGTTCATGAAAACCTTGAAGAAAGACTTGGGTAGAAAGTTTAAAGAAGATTTGCAAGCATTGGCACCGAAAACTGAGTCCAAGCTGTCCCCTTCCCGTACAAAACTGATCGAAGAGATGATCGATTCATCGATTATTATGCGATCTAAAGGCCACGCACCGATCTTGTTTGCCCATGCTCGCTTGAATCTTAGTGAGGGATCAGCCTTTGCATCGCTTCAACGACAGAAAGCTACTCAAGATTCACCGACCTCGGGTCGTCGTGCCAAGAGTTTGGACACTCCAGTAATCTCGCTACATAAACTTCCACCGATGAATGCATTCTCATCGAAAGACGATACCGTGGGTTACGAAGAGGAAGCGGAAATCCTGGAGGTGAAACCCCTGCAGAAGAAGGAGCAAACCATTGAGGAAGAACTAGATGAATCTGTGCACTCGTGTGCCGACGCAATCGTAGTTACCGATAATAAAGCGTCTCGGCAGACATCCACCGTCGACGAAGAGGTTAAGATGGTCCAGATCGATGCCGACGAGTTGGAGCTGTTGGATAGATTAAAGTACATCGAAAAGATCGAACTTCAAGGAGTGAAGATCAAGGAGAAACGTAAAACGAAAACCAAACTCAAGAGTGGAGATCAACTGATCCTGGAGATCCCCAGGTACAAGTTCGAACCATTTAGTTCGGGAAACAGTTCGCTAAAGACGTCACCAGCGATCAGTCGTGCAAGTAGTGTCGAAAGTACAGGTAAAGGTCGCCAGAAAACCGATAGTGGCACGCAGACTCCTACCGGAGGGCAATCGGCAGTCAAGCAGAAGTGCAAATCAACCAGTCCCAAAGGATCGGAGAAGATTCCACAGCCGAAGCGGCGCGCTTCGGATGAAATCAAAAATATTTCCTCGAACGATATTTTACGAACCAAAAGCCAAGAGACATTAGGTAAGAGATCAAGCAGTAAGGAGAAATCAAAGTCGCTGGAGAAGATGGAGTTGAAGCGACTGGGAAGCAAAGAGAAGAAGTCAGTCGTGGAAAGTGAGTTGGAACGAGCTAGGCGCAAGGAACGACAGCAGAAGTTGTATGAGTCGGCAATGAAACAGACGATCAATCTGTTGAGTCCGGTAAAGGATCAGTTGCCTCAATTCCCAGCACCGGAGGACAAAATATCGGTCAAAACCGAAGGCGATAAAATCATCATCGATGCGGAAGTGAAATCGAAACCGGAGGACCTGGTGTTCATTGCCAAGGCTCCTCGGAAGCTGGATTGTTCTCTGGCGAAAATAAGTCGCAGCTTTGAGGATCAAAAAAGCGTAGAAAAACTGGATAAGGCCAGTCGTAGTTTTGATGACCGTGGCAAATCGTTCGATGACCATTCGGATCGTTCGGCTGCTGATGACAGCAGCAGCATCGTATTGAAATCACCGGCAAAGTTGTCCAAGAGTCAAGAGCTGAAGCAGATAATCGAAGGCTCGGTGGTTCACAAGAAGATTGAAGGTAAGTCCAAGAGCTTGGAGAAGAAATCGGAATCGCAGTATTTGGATATTGAGTACAAAACGCGGAGTCTCGATCAGAACTATATCGACAACTATGCGGAAACTACTTCACCCGATTCGGAAGGTCAACCCCATTCGAGGAATCAAGAAGTGGTTAAGGTGGATGTGCATCGTTCGAAGATTGAATCTGACTCGGAATATACGCGGGGAAGGAAATCTACGGATAGCGATAGCAAATCCGCGGACGATCGTTCACGATTCGATAAAGGAAAGAGCCTGGATAACAACTTGAGCAATGGAAAGGATAAGGCTCCAGCAATAGAACGTCGTTCTCAATCACAGCCAGATGAATTTACCGGAGAAATCGACATGCAAGACATCATTACCGAACGAAGAACGCTAGACCTCATGAAAAGACGGTCGGAGGAAAGGACATTCGACTCGACTAGCACTCTGACGGATAACGAAGATCAGAAACCGTCCAAGGCGGGAAGTGAAGAGTCATTGACTGAGGTAAGTGAAATGAAAGGAGATCTGAAGGATTCCTATTTGCCTTGTCGTGTACCAACGATTGAGTATGAAGAACCATCGATCGAGGAAGAACTAGAAGTCGAACAAGAGCAGAAACAGGAACAGCGCCCAAATAAGAAGGAGATCATGGGAAAACTCAACCTGGAGAGAAGCCGAAGTGATGAAACAACTTCTTGGGTCACCATCGGTAGCGAAGAATACACGGGAACTGATGGAATTAGCCAACCGGAAATGGAAGAAACAGAAGGAGGACGAAAAATGGAGAGTCAGGCGACGTTTGACGATATCAAGGATATCACCATGCCGGAATCGGAAGTATCTACATCAGATGTTACCATCATACAGACGAAGAAGAGTACTTCTGATAAACCATTCGACCGACCATTGCCTCAAATTCCCGAAAAGAAAAAGAAGAAGGATAAATCCCCGACTCGCGAAGAACCGAAGGTCATTCAAGATGAAACGGAAGGCAAACAGGCATCTGAGCGTAGAGGAGATTTCCTGCGACTTTCCATAGAGCGGTCTCGTAGTTCAGATACGGGATCAAGCCGTGAGAATGAAAACAGTCCCGTCCGACAGGATTCTAGTACTCCCCGTGGAAAAGGATCTCTAGATGAGGAATCCAGCTTGAGTTGTTCGATTGCAAGACCTTTGGGAATATCGCAGGATATGGATTCGATGGACCACATTAAATGTCACGAATTGAGGGAAGCCATGCTGAAGATGGAAGAGACAGAGGACGTTAAGACTCCTACGAAGAAGTTCTCGCCAACGCTGGAAAAGCAATGCCCCGTAGATCTCGGGTCCGGATCGGAATTGGACGTCGATACCGTAGAAGATCGCATTGCAAGAATTCTTCAAAGAGAAGAAAGCGAGTCCAGCTCCGATAACGGTGCTACCCAAAAGCCGAAGGTTGTCAAACCGGTTCGATCGACTCTGATCCATAAAAAGGTCTGCCGAACGGCTCAACCGAACGAAAAACAACAACAGCAGACGACGGCTGAGCTGAAAACTGGTACGCTGAAGCTTCTTAGCGCCAACGGAGACAGAAGTTCGCTGGAGTCCAAATCTAGTCTGGAGTCGAAAGGGTCATTGGGATCATTTGAAACCGAGAGTAGTTCAGGTTCGCTGGGAGCAGCTCAACGGAAAGGTGATCTAGGGCAAAAGGAAGCCATGTCAACGTGGAAACCGTTCCCCATTGAGAGTTCCGGAAGTTCCAGCGTCGAAGAGAATTGGCTTCCACCGGATCAGGAAAGCTACGAGAGCTACGAAATCGCCACGGAAACCATCGAAATACAGCGAGTTGCACCTCCCGACGAGAAAGAATCCTCACCTGATGAGCAGAAGGAAAGTGATTCGGACTTTCAAGACGAACTAAATGACTTTCCTGCCACTTTCGGTTACCCGGAGATGACTTCCACGCTGGGTATCACAATGAACCCGGTGGATATTCTGGGTTATGGAACTGGATTCACTATTGGTCGAACTTTGTCAAGAATCTCCGAAAGAAGTACAAATTCGGAAAAATCTAGCGCAGAAGACAACGAAGCGGAGAAATCCAGCCTTGAGGACTTGAGCGTCCATGACGAATCGGCTATTTCCAGCGAACATCAGGCGAGTCTTAGCTCGGATTTGCATTCCAACTCCAACCCTGCGTACATTTCGGATGCCGATCGTCGAACATCTGCTGAAATGCCGGACATACCATGCGATTCTGCTGCAGCGGAACGTCTGTCAGAGATTTACCAGAATAACGTTGTAAAAAGTGGTCGCTTCACGGTATCGAATGTGTCGGATAGTACTACTAAGGAGGAAGAGAAGCCCAACTTGCAGTTGTTGTCTATCGGTGGAAGTCAGGATTCGGAAGATTGGCCTTTGCCGGAGATACCTTACGACAATACTCCGATCGAGAAATATGATACCTGCTTTATTCCACCTTATCCGGATAAACCGTACCCGAGACACCAATGGGCAGGTTCAGCTGCGACTGGTCAATCTCAGGAATCGGAGAACTGGCCTACTCCACCGTCGAGTATGCTAGATACTCCAATTGTTGAGAATGTCCAAACGTTCCGTGTTTGTGAAGCACAGCACCCTACCCAAGTGATGGTCGAATCGTATACCGAACCAACCGGAGACGATGACTCTGACCCGGACTATGCAGAAGTTCCTGACGAGGCTCCTGAACCTCCTAAGCGGGACTACAGCCTCGCAAATATGTCAAAAGCCAAAAACAGTGTAACGGGATCTCCTTCGCTATCGATGGTGGTTCCGTCCGAAAATACGGCCTACCTGATGTCTGCAACGAGCGAACCTTCGCCATACGAAGGTTACGAAACCAACACTTGCCTGAGTAGCGCCCTAGGGCCGGCCAGTTGTCTACGCACAACGTTCGATGCCTGTTCGAGTCAGAAATCTTTCTCGAATCAAGGGATGGCCAAGGAGACCAGTCCTGACAAAGTCATTATATCGCAACCAACGAAATCACCACAAAACCTAAGTCCAATCACCGACGATGATTTCTTCTTCAACGATGAAGTCTTCGGTCCGGGAACAGTCAAGATCGAAATATCTCCCGATGACAGTAAGCCTTCATCGGACTTCACGGTTCAGCAGAAGTTCTCGCGAAGTTCCAACAACTCGGACACTTCGATCGACGATCTACTGTCGACTTCATGCGGAACTTACATGGAGGAAACGGTCCGTCGGAACCTGGAACCACGACGACTAAGCAACGAATCCTGCAAGAAGTGTAGCCATAGCAGTCATTCCGAAGAGGAAACCAGTTCCTTCGGAACCGATCTCGACGGAACGGTCAAGATGGGCTTGCAGCAAAAACGCTGCACCCACAGTTCTCACTCGGAGGATACTTCAATTGGTCTTAGCATCTCTGAGTGGTCAACTGGTACCAACACGGTAAGGCAGTACGCGAATCTATCCGGATCGGACAGTCTGTCGGCGGTGTCAAACCATTCCGGGAATGCCAAAAGCGAAAAATCCAATCACACCAAGAGTAGCGTAAGTTCGATTCACAAGTCTACGGAGAGCTTGGATGAGAAGAGTGCCAGTCTGTCGAGTAGCAACAATAAGCGGTTCTCGTTGGAGAATATCTCCGACGGGCCAAAGTACGAACCGTTCAGTAATTCTACGGATACGGACAAGTTTTCGTCGGGAACGAAGAGCGATGACACTACGCTTACGTTAACCGAGATGGCACAGACCATTACGGAATGGTCGACTAGTAGCAGCAATACGTTGATTGCCCAGGCAGACGCCTTGAAGCATTTGGAATCTAGAGGTGATAGACCGATGACCAGGACTACGTTTGAGTATGTTCCACTGAAGCCACCGAAAATAGTGAAAAAGCCCGGTTTGGAGGATAACAAGAACTTGCCGGCAGTTCATGCTAAGCCGAAACCGAAACCGATACCTCATGTAGAGGTGACCGTTACACGTTTTGATCCAAAACCGCCTCCACCGGATTTAATTCCGAAAACGATCGAACGGCCTTTGAAAATCCCACCCAAGATAGTAGATATGATTGAAAAGTCTCCCAAACGAGCAACTCCTCAACCGGTACCAATTCAGCAACAACCGCTGCCCCAATCGATGAGACCTGGCGAGGGTGCACCAGCTACCGATCCCGCACCTGAACCATCCATAGCTAATAGTAAACGAAGAACCTTGGAAATGATGTCTCAGCGCTACGTTAGCCAAGATTTCTCCGAATCCGAACCCTTCAGCGAAAAGCTCTACAGTCAACAAGAGAAGCATACCGAACGATACCAGAGCCAAGAATTTGTCACTCCTCCACAGAAACCACCCCGTGGAGATTCCCTACCCACTGGGACTTCGGTCCCGATGGTCGAAAAGCCACTTGCCAAGCATCACAGCTACGATGACAAGACCCTGTCGAAGTCTCAAATCCGCGAATACAAATCCTCAAAAATGCGTCACAGTCAATCGTTCCACGAACATTTGGTCTCATCCGACCTGAACAAGATTGTCGAAGAAAACATGGGCAGTTCGTCGACTACGACAACACACAGCAGTGAAGCTACAGATAACTCTTCGCCCATGTTCCCTCGACCAGAGAAGTTAATTCGCTGTTCACCGTACTATTCTAGCAGCTTAAGCTCGGAATCACCACCGATACAGCCAATGACACAACCGCCGGTACAGAAGCCTCCTCGTAGGACTTCGCTTCCCCGTAATATGGCTCCTAAGAGCCCTCCCAGCGGTAACGATACGGATAGTTCGCTGGATTTGCGACAACAGGATCCCAAGCTCCGATCCCGGGGATATCGGAAGAAACGAACGGTTCCGTTGAAGAAAAGCCGGTTAGATAATCGACCCTTAGAGCACCAGGAGAGTTCCGAGTGTTCCGAGGGGTACTTCCCTGAAATGGAATCGGGCAGTTCCGATGTTATCGAACAGCAGTATCATCGTTACCCAGACTTAGAGGAGGCGCTCGAGCAGTTACCCGAAGATTACGAGGACGAGACTTACCGAGTGGAGAGCGAGCGAGATTTCAAGAACGGAGCTGGAGTCTATCCGAGTGCGTCGTACTCGAATAAGTTCGAGGGTTTGGATATGACCGAGAATGTCGACGAGATGGGTTTTCCACGGTACGATCGGTTGGGTCATATTACAAATCCACATCTGTACAAATCGGACACTCCTTCGCCGCCGGTGAAACCTCTGAGGCAACGAAAGCGACAGGTCAAGCGAGATGAAGCGGACACGGAGTACACCGGAGTCCAGTATACACCGGAAAGCGGTAGCTGTTCGGAAACCAAGGCCGGTCTGTCCGACGATGTGTGCTACTCGAGTGAAGACAGCTTCGCGGCGGGATATCAGCATATCCTGATTGGAGGTTCCCGCTATCACAAGAACGTCGAGATACCGTATCCGGACTTTTTGTCCGACTATGAAAACGAATCGTCGTCGGCAGGTTCGTACGCTCGACGTATGGAACACGACCGGCGACGGTACGTTGAAATGGAACATGGTGGCGTCGTTCCAAGCAGCTTTCAGGACTCGGAGAAGGGTGCCGAAGGGCTAGGGTTCGATCTGAAGGCACTTCCACCTCCGATGTTTGCCGAAGAGCTCGACGACGAAGACGAAGAGAACGAGGTGGAAGATAATGCCATCTAAAACGGGTGCAAGCGAAGACTGAGTGATGCCAAATATGAACGATACGAGGAAAACGCTGAAACGAACGAATCAGACGTCGCTCCGGGGGTCAACAATATGAGGGAATGGGAAGGAAGAGCCTAATGGGGGGGAACGGAGCGACATCTATTAGTGAGATTTTATACTAACTGTCATCGAGTGTCGTCATCTCGTAGAGAGGGTCGTTTGAAATGTGACAATTTTAAACAGTAAACATTAAAAGCTATATGTCGTTAGATAATGGGTTGAAGATTTTAAATATATGCGGTTGGATGAAGGCAGTTATCGATGGATGATATGAAAAAAATATATACTCTAGCTGTTATTTCAGTCTAATCAAAGTTTAACAAATATACATAAAAAATAAATAGTCTCAAGTAAGATGCATTTATAATAACGAATAAATCATTAAAATACAAGTAGGATTAGTGATCTAAATGAAGTACCACGTATCTCATTTTCGCGCCTTTTTTGGGTTGTTTATGACTTTTGTACGGAAAATTGGTGCCAAATTGATCCATGAATCGTTTGTTTTTTTATTCCTTTGACGGATCAAATTCCAATAAATCCCAAATGGCAATTGGCAATTTGAGCTTCTACGGTATCAAACAAAGAGCTCACAAATACCACCGCCTAGAGTAAGTTTAGTATGTTATTAGCTATTGAGTTTTACTCAAAGTCAGTTGAATGTGATTGGAGTTGTTTTCAAATAAGTCGTTCGTTTGAATCGCTCTCGAGCGATCGTAGTAGCCCGGTGAACTGTTGATTTTGACACTTGCGTAGCAAGTTTATTACGTTATCTTTTTTTTTTTTTTTGCTATCCAAGTAAGCTGTGCATTATCTACATCTCTACACCTTCCGCGAGAGCGCGGGTATTCTAGGAAATAGTCGTAGGTAAAGTATTCCGACAAAGCATGCTAAACAATTGTTATACTCTCACTCAAACCATATTTAAAAGAAAATCTAAGAAATGCATTTAGGATCAGAATTTTAGATATCATACATAGGAAGGACTCACACATTAAAACAAAATGGGAACGATCGAGAAGGGTATCGAAATGAGTATTTAACAAAAAAAAAATGGGAAGCAGGCAAACGATGAAGGCCGACAAAGCAGAGAAAACGAAAGCGTCCCAAAATGTCTATTGTTGTGGTGGTTGTTAAGTGAAACAAAAGTACTCATTCGTAAAAGGTTTAAATGACTAAATCGTTTGAATAAGGAACAGCTTGTGTGTAACGAAAAGAGTTAAAACTTACCGAAAATGTTTGTTAAATGATTGTTCCAAGAAGGTTATATCTAGTAAAATGATAAGTGAAAAAAAGGAAATAATTTGCTGCTTCAAAAATACAACAACACAAGTGATAACCGTGTGTCAAAATATCTCGAGCCAAACAAAAACGAAGCTAACCTAACCGTTATGAATAATTCTGTTTGCATGGAAATTGTGTGGTGGTCTAACTACTTCTTCCAGTGTGTACCTTTTACCTGACGCAACCTGTTTTGGTCAACCCAGAATGTTTTCCTACAATTTAATAAGTTCGAATTTATTGACAGCAATTCTATCTAAAACAAAATAATAATAGAGCACTATATTATCTATTCTCGAATTAAGAAAGTTTATATTAATGATAAAGCAAGCAAATACAAGAACGATATAAAATGTTTTATAACGAATTTTTGTCTTTTGAGATGATTTAATCGAGTGATATCGATAAGTAATAACAATTAAAATTATCCATTTGAAAAAAGCAAGATACTTAACGATATAGTTTATTATAGTAATGTTGTTTACTGAAATCAAAAGATTCAAATATATTGACAGAGGAAAAGAGAACTATTACAGCCAATAAGTTTTTATTGCATAGCTCAAAGTAACCAGAGTACCGATTAGTAAGCGCAGAATAGAACAATCGATTAGAGTGGTGGTACAGTGCTGCAGAAAAAGGCTAAAGAAAGAGCGTATAAATGAAAAAAAAAAAAAACAAACAGAAATAACATTAACGAACAATTATATCATCAATCATCAATCAATCTCTTTCTATTCCCTTTTAAACCCGAGTCAAAGCCAAACAAACAAACAAACAAAAACAATTACTATTAAGTAGCAGTAGGTCTAATGGAGAGCTAAACAGTCACACAACCAAAAATCCAAAACCAAATCAGCTTTTGAAGCGATTCTATCCCGGTCAAGAATCAAACGATACTGTTGGAAAAAGAAAAAGAGAAAAAAGCAGCTGAAAAGCTAATCCAATTAGCGGCCAAAACAACAGTAACAGCAACAACCACATTCATGAGCGATTTACCTACGTGACACGAACATAACAAAATAACAATATATTGGTAATAAATAGCAAGTTTGGAAACTTTAAAGTATTTCGGAAAAATTTAAACACTTGGGTTTTCATTGGCTCCGCTTCGGTTGATGACCGGTTTTGTTTGTTCATTTTAGTGTGTGATATTTGATTCTAGATTTATTGTAGGTAGTAAGCCGCACAAACATTGGATCAGTTACTACGAGCGATAAGGTTGTTCATTTGGTCAAATCAGCTTAAAAAAAGGGCTAATTAGCTAGGAAAGAATTGCTCGAAGAAATTGATCCATTGGTTGTCAAAAAAAAAACTTCAATTGGAAAATTTGTTTGTTAATTTTAAAGCATGCTGTTGTCGTTACTTTTCTGTACAGTTTTATTTTATTCTTAGATACATTAGTTGTTGATGAAGTTGTCGGTGGAAAAATGTATTGTAGGGTTGCTTCCACTCGCTTGCTTTAAAAAAATGTTTTTTTCGAAATTGAGAAATCATTAGAATCGAAAATGGTATTTAGTACTAGTAAGTTAAAACAGCAAAAAAGGTTATCTTCCATTTAATTCCACTTAATGGAAGATAACCTTTTTTGCTGTTTTATTTAGCATTCCGCTAACAACCCAATTTCATTACTTCACTAGTAAGTTACAAGAAAAGTTTGTAAACAAGGTGTTTGACACATAAAACCTGTCATTATTTCTTTTAGTGTTTCACAATCAGCGATTTTACGATTCGCGAGCGCTCACTCTGAGTGAACGTTTACGAGTCATAAATTCGCTGATTGTGACACACTGAAGGCGAAATTGACAGGTTTTATGTGTCGAATACATACTTTCCAACCTCGTCTTGTATCTGACAAGTACAACATACCATTATAGTATCCAATGATTCCATAAATTTCGAAAAACATTTTTTATAGCGAAGAAAGTGGAAGTAACCCTGACAAATATGTACCTTTCGTTGATACAAATGCACATTCATTGGCGAATATCCATGTGTAATTCAACGTAATAATTTTGTGCTCACACGTAAACAGAATCCACTCATAAATACACATGAAAGTTATGTATTAAATGAATATTACGTGTGGTCACTAGGGTGTCTTGGAAGGATAAATAAAGACAACCGTAGTGACTAATGTAAACTGGATTTATTAATATACATTTATTATCTAGACTACTGTGATTGGACTATTCAGTCGAGTTGCCTCAGCTTTCTCCTTCACTCCTCCTCAAGTTCGCACTGAAGGTCAATCTTCTTCCGCAACTGCCCTTTTTTAACTCTTTATTTGTTCCAAATTCAAAATAAATAACATTTAATTTTAACCAAGGTGCTCCAGTTACTACAGTAACTTACCAGCCTTAATTGTTATGATATATATCTAAGTGTTTTAACATTGTTTCTGCCTTGGCAATTCAGTATTTCAAACAATTTTTTTTTTACCTGCAGGTCAGTATAACAATTTACATCTTAAAACTAAAAACTAAAACTTAATCTTATCTAAGTATAAAGGGAATTAATCGTTGCAATTGAGGCCAATTTTGCCTGAAATTATCAATTATTTTGTTGAACATTAGTTCTAAAGTCTCAACATCCGAAATTCTTTTTTTTTTCCTGGTAGTGCAACAACTAGACCATATTGGCACAGCGTAAAGCATGGCCGGTCTAAAAGTTGTCTGTCCCATATGAATTTTAATCATTTTTTAGTTAACCTTGAGAATGGTGTTTATTTTCATTGAACTTTAAGAAATCACATTGAAAATTACATCTTTATATGGGCAAAACATAAAAAAAATACCAAACTAGGTCAGTCCTATATTGAAAGTACCCGCATCCCGCATAACAGTCCCATTTGTCACATAAAAATAGATTGAAGTAAAATTTCATTTGCAAAGGATTGCACAGTCTCTTATCGTGATTTTAATATTTTTTTTTATTGTTAATGAACTACAAAAAAAATATTCCGAGTTAGTATAATGTGCATGTATTTGATCAAATTTCACTTAACGATGCTTAATTTGCCTTAACGGGTAAACGTTCCCTGAACAACTTCTGGTCAGGGCTGGCAAATGTAATTTTCAATGAAAGCTCTCACGCGATATTTACAGAGATACTTCTGTCACTATCATTGGATGAGAAAACGATGATAGAGATTTTCATCAAAATCTCATCGAATTTTTTCGAAATTATTAATTATTTTGTTGGACATTTGTTCTAAAGTCTCAACATTCGAAATTCTATGTACTTCGGTAGTACTGTACCAGGGAGGCAACTTCAAAATCATCTTCAGAACTTTTTTCTGAATCCTTTGAAGTGCTTTTTTCCTGGTAGTGCAACAACTAGACCATATTGGCACAGCGTAAAGCATGGCCGGTCTAAAAACTTGTTTAAATATTAGAAGTTTATTCGTCAGGCAAAGTTTGGATTTCCTGTTTATAAGAGGATACAAACATTTTATATATTTGTTACATTTGGCTTGAATGCCCTCAATGTGATCTTTAAAAGTTAATTTTTGGTCAAGTATTAATCCAAGATATTTCACTTGGTTTGACCAGGAAATTGGAACTCCGTTCATAGTGACTATGTGACTACTACTAGGTTTCAAAAACGAAGCGCTAGGCTTATGGGGAAATATTATAAGTTGAGTTTTGGAAGCGTTGGGAGAAATCTTCCAATATCTAAACTTTTCTGCAGTCTGCTGCAAATAACACGAAGACTTCTTCCTTTAGCGGAAATGCCTGTGTCATCAGCGAACAAAGATTTGTGGCAACCCTGAGGCAAATCAGGGACACTGTCGAATGCTTTTTCTATGTCAAGAAGAGCAACTCCAGTTGAGTGGCCTTCAGATTTGTTTGAACGGATTAAATTGGTAACTCTTAAGAGTTGATGAGTAGTTGAATGCCCATGGCGAAATCCAAACTGCTCATCTGCAAAAATTGAGTTCGTATTGATGTGAAGCATCATTTAAAATTATCTTTTCAAAAAGTTTACTTATTGAAGAAAGCAAACTTATTGGACAGTAGCTATAAGCTTCAGCTGGATTTTTATCCGGCTTCAAAATTGGAACAACAATGGAAACATCGGTTAAATAATTTTACCAAGAGAAAGACAAGGTACTTTCTGGGAGTTTTTTGATGAGGATATAGAAAACTTCATCATCACCTGGAGCTTTCATATTTTGAAACTTTTTAGTTATAGACCTTACTTCGTCCAAATCAGTCCCCCAGGAATCATCAAAAATATTTTCCCGGGAGAAAATATTCAGAAAATCCCCCCCTGATTCTCAATAGGACTAGTAAGACCCAAACTGAAATTATGGGAACTCTCAAATTGCTTAGCAAGTTTCTGAGCTTTTTCCAAATTTGTGATCAAAATTTTACCACCTTCTTTAACCGCTGGAATTGGCTATTGAGGTTTTTTCAAAATTTTTGTGAGTTTCCAAAAGGGTTTGGAACTCGGGTCTAATTTAGAAATATTATTTTCAAAAGTTTTGTTCCTCAGGGCAGAGAATCGCTTTTTAATTTGTTTTTGCAAATCCCGCCAGATAACTTTCGTGGCAGGATCGCGTGTTCTTTGATTTTGTCTCCTACGGACATTTTTAAGACGGATCAAGAGCTGATGATCATCGTCTATTATAATTGAATCGAATTTAATCTCGCATTTTGGTACTGAGGCAGTTCTTGCTTCAACTATAGAAGTAGTCAGAGATTCAAGAGCATAATTAATTTCATCTTTTGTTTGCAAAGGAATGTTTGGATCGAAGTTATATTCCATAAATGTTCGATATTTTTTCCAATCAGCTCTATGGTAATTGAAAGTAGAGCTGTTGGGATTACAAATTATTTCTTGGGATATTTCAAAAGTTACTGGAAGGTGATCAGAAACGAAGTCAGCATGGGTAACCGATTGGCTACAAAGTTGACATGAATCAGTTAAGACCAAATCAATAGTGGAGGGATTTCTTGCAGAAGAAAAGCATGTTGGGCTGTTTGAATATTGAATAGTGTAATAACCTGCAGAACAATCATCAAACAGAATATTATTATTGGAATTGCTTTGAGCATTATTCCATGAGCGGTGTTTTGCATTAAAATCACCAATAATAAAGAATTTAGACCTATGACGGGTATGTTTCTGAAGGTCAACCGTGAGAAAATTCTTTTGCTGGCCTACGCATTGGAATGGCAAATAGGCAGCTATAAACGTAAGTTGTCCAAATTTTGTTTTAACAGAAACACCCAAACTTTCAAAAACTTTGGTTTCAAATGAAGAAAGAATTTTATGTTTGATTCGTTTATAAACAATGATGGCAACGCCACCACAGGGTCCATAAAGACGACCATTTCTATAAATCAAATAATTAGCGTCCTTCTTAACCTTATGGTCAGGTTTAAGGAACGTTTCAGTTAAAACGGCAATATGCACGTTATGAACTCTCAAAAAGTTAAATAGCTCGTCTTCATTATCTTTAAGAGATCGAGCATTCCAATTTAAAATGTTTAATGCTTTAAAATCCATTACTGAATTTTAAAGTCATGACAATATTATTTGCAAATTTTACCCCAGTTTGAATAGCATCAAACATTGAGTTAAATTTAAGCATATCAGAAATCATGTCTATTAATGATTTCTGTAAAAATTCCATTTTAGGGGCAGTAATGCTTCCTAAGTCAAAATTGTCAAAATTTCCGTTAGTATTACGTTG